GAAGAAAGCCTCTTGCTCATACTTGCTCCTGTGAGGACCAAGGTCACTGCTAAATCTTGAGGGTGCAGAAAGTAAAAGGCTGTAGCTGCAGGGAGGAGCAGACAGGGCAGGTGACCCTAAAAACTGACCAACAGCATATCCTATCCCATATATGTCATGTTCAGCATAAAGCTGAGCTATCACAAGCATCAAGCTCTCTTCTTCAATGGCTGGCATTCAAGGAGGACCTTGTCTCTTTTACCTTTGATCTCAAGCCATATGTTCTTGAATCCAACTCCTGAATCCAGTTCCTGTCTGCTGCTGAGTCCAGTCTGAGAGTTCCCTAGTGCCTGCCCCACTGCATCAGTGGTGACAGTGATGTAACTGCCGTCAGGAGGGTTGGATTCAATATTGGCTTTGCACATATTTGTGTGCATTTTGTATTTTTATTATTATTTTATTAAAGCTGTTTTAGTGTTTCTTTCTAATCCGAAAGTCTCTCTCCCTTATTCCTTTTCTCTCCCACTTTGGGAGGGAAGAGGGGTTGGTGGAGAGCAATCTGTCATTTGTCTGGTGGCAGAACTCTGGACTTTGACAATCACACAGGCTTTACAATTTTACCCAGTGATTAGTGGTCTCAGACCAGTGATTTCAGGTGTGTAACACATCTGGAGTTCTCTGTGTTTCTGTATATCCTTTCCTCAGGTAATGAACTCCAGCTGCCTACTTACATAGACTCTTGATAAAATTATTTTTAAAGAGAGAAATTAAAAGTAAGTCAAATCATGAGTGCAGTCAGACACACTTCCCGTGAGGCATGATTAAGCTATACTGGGAAGGGTAAGTTTAGGACACAGTTGCTCCTGTATATTTGTGGTCTGAAAGTCTTTTATGAGCTATGCTCTAGAGATCTGAAGTGCCAGGAGGGACCTCCAGGATGCTGTAGTGAAACCAGCTTTTTTCATATAGTCAACTTGCTTTGGATTCTGGCCAAACTGTTGTGTTTGTATATATCATGGGAATTTAATGCTTTTGACCCAAATGGCTGAGCTGGTTTCTGTTGCAATGGGTGGTTAATGTTTTAAACAGAAACAGAGGCATCTTTGATGTCATTCCCAGACTTCTCCTTTTTTTGGCTTTGCAGATGACTTTGCAAAAGGGCACAATTCAACTTTTGAATGATTGTGGTGCCTTACTTCACACACAGGCATGCTGCTGAAAACTAGGCTTTGGAAATATCTTGTTCCCCCAAAAAAGGAGGCTCTCTCTTGAAGAACATGGGCAGACATGCTCCTGGACCAGGAGTAGCTAGATGTGAATGCAAGCCCCAAGAAAGCTGAGTGAGAATGGGACAAACATAGAATCACAGAATCACAGAAACATTAAATTAAATATTAATGGAAAACATTTCTAAGATCACCAAGTCCAACCATCATCCCACACTACCATGATCATGTTTCAAAGTACCTTGTCTACACACTTTTTTGAACATGTCCAAGGATGGGAAGGATGGTGACACCACCACCTCCCTGGGCAGCTTATTCCAAGGCCTCACTACTTCATGACTGTAGTGACTCAGATTCTCCAACTGGAACATTTCTTGGCACAGAAAGTGGCTGGCTCACTGTGGAAAGGAAAGCTGTAACCATCACCCTGCAGTGCAGAGGAACAGCAGGGTCCCAGTGTTCAAAGGAGTAGAACAGCCTGCTGCTGATTTACAAGCCAAGTTTTGTCCCATGCTCTTTACAGAAAAGAAACTGGCTTGGTTTTAACGTGTATCAACACAACAGTCAGTAGGCTATGTAGAAACAGGACTCCATTGTGTGGGGAAGTGGCATGTGTGGAGTAAGCTGCTCTGGGCAGCTTTACAAACAGAGACAATACAGAGGGCATACCAAGGATAAGGGGAGCCACTTTGCAGAGAGCTAGGAAAAAGCAAGTGTCTTGTCCCACCTGCCACCTTCTGATTTAGGCTGAAAGGTTCTTCATTTATGGTAAATGTAAGCTGAGGTCAAGGGAGGGTGACCTCAACTAAGAAGAATCAAGATATGATTTCCACATTTCTTTCAAAATGTAGCAGACCTCAGAAGCTAGGGTTTTGGGTTTGTTTTGGGATTTTTTTTTGGCATATCAGACCATCTTTCCTTTGCTCATTCATCAAAGACAATCCAGAAAGCAGCTGCAAGAATTTCATATATTAGTGCAGTTCAGTAGCTAAAGCTGAAGTCAGAAGGTAGAGAAACCTAAGAGGTACAACACATTGGGTGCTGCTTTTTTTTTGTATTAGCAAAGGCTAGGAGTGTTCATCCAGGTCCAGATAGGGGTGGATGCCTGTTTAGTTTTAAAAAACAGACAGTAAGAATATAATGCAGATTTTAAAGGGGGGGGAGGATGGTAACATTTGCAGAACATGTTTGCACCCATGTGTATGAAGACCAGTGAGAGTGGCTTTTCTGCAGACAAGCAGAGGATCTTTCTACTTCAAAAATATATTACTTGCATCCTTTTCTAAACCACACACTTTACAAGATTTCATAGAACCAAAGGATGGTTTGGGTTGGAAGGACTTTAAAGATCATGTAGTTCCAAGCCCCCTGCCACGGGCAGGGACACCTCCCACTAGGCCAGGTTGCACAAGGCCACATCCAGCCTGGTCTTGAACACCTACCACGATGCAGCATCCATAGCCTCCCGGGGCAACCTGTTCCAGCATCTCACCACCCACACAATGAAGAACTCCTTCCTTACGTATAATCTAATTCTACCCTCTTCCACAGCTCCAGTGAAAGCATGATGGTCACAACAAACAGAAGAGTAGGCCTTGGGAGAAGAATGATGGCTGAGACCCTCCAGTGATGGCAACTATTGAGGAGAAGGGACCATCCCCAGCAAACCTTCCAATTTATAATGAGCAGGATATTTATGATATGGAATATTTCCATTGGCCAGCTTGGGTCAGCTGCCCTGTATTGTGTTCTTTCTAGCTTTCTGATCTGGCTAACTCAAAACTGCTAAAGACCTTGATAGCTATGGAAACCCTCATACTATAGCTGGCCATGAACAGAAACTAAGTGTCTTAACAGTTTTGTTCTTGACTAAATCAGGTACTGCAGTCTTCTCAAAAATGCAGCTTTCCTGAGCAGAAAATTGATTCTCTGATTCTACCCCAACAAAACCAGAACACTGAAGGCAGTCTCCAAGCTATTACAAAGCATCTATGTGCAAGGATTATTCTTTTACAGTGTTTCACAAGACAAAATTTTTCTAATGAACAGATGAAAGAAAGTGTTCAATGTACATGACAATTTCAATACGTGCATTTCTAATGCATTTGATACACTAATTACTTGGGCATTAAGAAGAAACTTGTAACAATACGTGATATCAGTGAGGCATACTTGTGAGAAAAGAATCCCTGATCTCCTTGACTTTGTGATACAAAAACATGAGAAAACATAAGGATTCTTAATAGTTGAGCCAATATTCACCTGGAGAAGAGGGACTTGATGTAACAGGGTTCCCCAATACCACTGCCCCTCACCGTCTCCTGAATATATGATATTACAGCATAGCTATGTGAACAAGTGTAAGTTAATCTGTTATTACAGCATATGTAGCTGCTCACAGCTTTTCTTGGTACAAATCTTACTTTCTTCAGCAGGGGACTGTGTCAATAGAAACTGGTCTGCTTAAAGCTAGAGGATTGGGCACAGTCAAATGCATCACCTTACTAATTCCAAATGGATTTTCACAGAATTATAGAACAGTTTGAGTTGGACAGGACCTCAAAAGGTCATCTAGTCCAATGCCTCTGCAGTGAGCAGTGGCACCTTCAACTACATAAGATTTTATTAGGTCTTACAAAGAAGAATTATATGAAGGCTGATCCAAGATTCCTTGTGTCTCCTTCCTACACATAAAGTTTCCCTTAAAATTTTATCTGCACCTGTTGAGTCCTAGGTGCACATAAGGGCATTGTTGCCTGTAAGTTAGTGCTGCATAGTCACCCTCCTTCCACAGAGTTAGGTCTGGGGTTTTAATCCTTGAAGTGATATAATGAGGTTGCCCAAGTAAACGCTCTTTTGTCCTCTTCATAGCACAACTTGTGTGAAACTTTAATTATACAACAGTGAGGTGCACCTTCCATCGGTACCTAGATATATTGTTTAATATTTTGCTTATTTCTGCCGTCTCAATAAATATTTTAGTCATGATTTGCAAGCAAAGACAGACCTTAGCTCAGGATACGGCAACTAAACAGGTTCTGAGTTTTCCTGTGTTATTCATACTTTTTATTTTGTAAACCACACAGGTTTGTTTTCTCCACTCCACAGTCGAGGAGCTGAGGCCCCATGAGGTCAAGGTAAAGGGATGGTTCTATGAAAACAGAAGATGTAACAATGCCTGTCTGGCCCATGTTCCCAAGATGATAATCTGTCCCATAGATTTCAGCACATGTTACAAGTGCTCCAGTGACCTATTTGAATTTTAGCTGTAACGTTCCGAGTTGCTCTTGGAGTAGAGAGAAAAGAAGAAGAAGGGAGCAGGTGGAGAAGAGATGCATAACACCACAGAGAGCAGGTAATGCAGAAGAAAGATTCGTTTTCTCCAGGCAGCAGCACTGAGCTCTTCAAAAGCTTTCTGTGCACAGTTTTGTTCAAAGTGCTGTTGAAGGGATTTCCAGGGCAGAATTAATGAATCCAGAGCCAGGTCTGACTAGTATTTTCATATCCCACTTGTGTGTGTGCCTGGTGGTGATAGCTTTGTGTTTTGCTTACCCAAACCTCCATGTTGTGTGTTGATTCTGTGTCCCTTCATTCCTTGCTGTTACCAGCTTATCTGATATTTCCACAGCCCTTCTGTAGGCTCTTTTCATACATGCAAACAGTAAAGCATAGATTTACTCCTGACATTGCTGAAATGCTAAACTGCAGTAAAAAAAAAAGTCAGTCCTCAAACAGGCTTAAACAACTCTTGAGAAGCATCATACATTGTGCAGAGAGGAGAGAAAATCAACTTACCTATTAGAGGGACTGAGTCGGAAGTTGCAGGCATGATCTCAGCCACAAGCAGCATGAATACAGTCAGGGAAAGCAGAACAGTGATACCTGCAGGGAGTGAATGTGAAGGGGAAGGATGAGGAAGATGAACTCTGCAGCTGCTCCCCTGATGTATTCACTGTTAAATATAGCCTTGTCCTGATGTATGGCTATGCCAAATCCACAGCTTCGTGTCTGTCAACGTAGCTGAGAACTTCCACAAAGTGAGAGCGTTTTTGGATGTAACTTTATCTGCTGTCTTTTCACTTTTTTCATTTATACCCAAACACTTGTTCCTCTGAAGTTAATGGAGAAATTGTTCCTGACAAGTGAAATTAAGCTTGTAGAACTGGTAAACTGCATTTTCCAAAACTTAGTGCAAACATAGACCAGATGGCTATTAAAGGCTAGGAAAGACTTGCACAGACATGACTCTAGCTTTCGGCTATTGCATGTTATATAATAACCTTCAAAGAGCTGCATCCTGTTTTAAAATAAGTTCTTTGTCCTATCTGGAAAGACTGTTGTTAAACTTAACTGCCATGGTACTGAGAAATCAGAAGGTCAATGCATGAGCATCATCTCCTACTTTTGTGTCAACATTGTACTTCAGCTCAAATAACTCTTCCTTTTTTCCATCCTATTTTTCATAGACAGCAATTGTATTCCCCATAGCCTGTGTTCATTTCTTGTAAGACATGCTGCTCAGATATCTGATTGTTCTACTAACACTGAGGGTACTTCTTATGATTTAAAGGCTTCTGTCTTGATTAGAATTGTGCATAATGAACTCTTAAGGTCTCATCTGGCCCACTCGTGTATTTCCAGCTCTCCTCCATCTTCTCTTGGAAGCACTCCTCCCTTCTTTATCAATACAAACAACAGTAAATCCCATTAAGTCCTTCCTTGGCTGTCACTACTTTGTGTTCATGTGAGACTTGTGACTTGGTGGTTTGGGAGCTGAACTTGGAAGGTGAAAATCAAATGCCCAGGTGCTTTTGCTCACAACCCATCATTCTCTGTGCCTTAATATGTCCTCTCCGAAAAACAGTTATTCAGCTGTGGAATGCATTGAGATATTCTAAAAATCACAACATGGATGACAGAGTACTATCACTGCTGCCTGTGCCAGCAGCAAGCGCTGCTTCATCCCAGGTTAAGATCCAAAATATTTTAGACCTTTTTAGCACAGGATGTGTGAATGTCATACAGAAAGTTACTACCCTAGTTTCTGCAGCCAAGTAATTGCTTCTGTTGCTCCTCCAGGGAAATCTTTATTCATCAAGTACCACAAGGTATTTATGTTTGATTTTATAGGAAATGCTTACAAAAGAAATAAACTCTTTAGCACTTACCTAAAGAAATCTTCTCCCCTGAATCAGCTGGCAAAAGGAAAACAAGCAGTGCCAAGCCAGATATGAGAACACATGGAATGAGCAGGTTCAATCCATAGTAGAGGGTGCGCCGACGCATGGTGATGGTGTATGTCACATCTGGGTATGGCTCTTTACAGCAGTCATAGTACATCTCATTCCTCTTTCCTGGGACACCTAGAAAGGGTGATCAGAGCAGTGGAGAGAGGTGCAGGGCTCCCAAGTAACCCCTTGGAATGGGTGTGACACCTCCACCACACACTGTGCATGGAAGAATGGTTCAAAGTGTCCTCTGGCAATTGATAAGGGAGAAAAGATGCCCCCAGATCAGTTACCAGGCAAAAGTCATCTTCTAAAACTTGTGGCTAATGATGCGCACATGGGGACAAAGGGCAATGCACCTCAGTTCAATTTTTGTTTGACAGCTGAAACGAATCACTACAGGTTTAAATAAGCCAAGATAATTAACTCTTAGTGTGTCAGTGTCTTCAGCAACATCTGAGGCAACACTGCAAGGCATCTGCTGTTCTTGGTCCACCTTCCACCTTTTCTAGGGCTTTTTTCATGCTTTCTGAGTCAACAGAACCTGGGTTAGCCAAGAAAGTTCATCTGGACCAGGTCAAACCAGTTCTGAGCATCCAAACCTCAAACAGAAAAGATTTGCAAGCAGTGGCCAAAGATTAACTCAGTAAAACATGCATTCTCCCAGCATCCAGGGAATGGTGACAACCCATTGTATTAGGAATAATGCAGTTAGCAGGACTAGTGGATGGAAAGCTGGTGGGCAGAAAGGGACCTGGGGGTGTTGATTGACAGCCAGCTGAACATGAGCCAGCCGTGTGCCCACGTGGCCAAAAAGGCCAAAGGCATCCTGGCTTTTATTAGGAATAGTGTAGTCAGCAGGACTAGGGAAGTGATTATCCCACTGTACTTGGCACTGATGAGGCCACATCTTGAGTATTGAGATCAGTTTTGGGCACCACAGCACAAGAAGGACACTGAGGTTCTAGAGAGGGTGCAAAGAAGGGTGACAAAGCTGGTGAAGGGTCTTGAGGACAAGTCTTATGAGGAGCAGCTGTGGGAACTGGGGCTGTTTAGCCTGAAGAAGAGGAGGCTGAGGAGAGGCCTTACCACTCTCTACAACTGCCTGAAAGGAGACTGTAGGGATGCAGGTGCGGGCCTCTTCTTACAGGCCACAACTGACAGGACAAGAGGAAATGATATTAAGTTACGCCAGGGGAGATTTAGGTCAGACATTAGGAAAAAATTCTTCACCAAAAGGGTGATCAAACACTGGAACAGGCTTCCCAGGGAAGCGGTTGAATCACCATCCCTGGATGTATTTAAAAGCCATCTAGATGGAGTGCCCAGGGATATGGTGTAGAAGTGGCTTGGTAGAGATAATGGTTGGACTCAATGATCTTAAAGGTCCTTTCCAACCATAGTGATTCTGTGATTCTGTGAAACAGCTGATGTCGTGTTCACTAGGCCATGCAGCACTTCTGTGTGACAAGTGCCACGAGTTCTTAGTTTTCTGTCATTCTCCTATAAACATTTGCTTTGTTTTGTCAGGAAAAACAAACAGGATATGGCTTAATTTTCAAAGGGATGTCAAATCAAGCTTACAGTTTGTCATATATGAAGGTTAAAAGGCCTAGCTGTCCAATATAGCTGTACTGAAGGGTTGGCCATTAGCATGGTAGTTTCCATGAAGGATATGGCCACAATTTGCCTGTTTTGTCCACCCCTGGTCAGGATTGAAGGCAGGTGAGCCACAGGTCAGTCTCTTAATCGGGTATGCAAAGTTATTGGATGGAAATAAGCACTATAAAGGAGCAAAGGAAAGTGAGGAGTCCTTCAGCTTCTCATACAACTGAATATTGATTACGTTTCTTATTTTACTAGTTCTCAGTTGCCCTGAATGGTAAAACTGCTGTATGCACTTTGTCAGTGACAGTTACTTCCTTGCCTGCATATCCAGATTAGAAGATTAAATGTCCCTTCTGCAAGTTCTCCTCAGGGTGGTCTAAGCTATATCAATTTCAATAGCATTGCTTCTGATTCACAGCTACATAAATGTTTGAAATAACTTACTTGGAGCTCAGTCCAAATATCTAGTTCTGGGTATAGATTACTCTTTTAAAAATACAGGTATCTTCAAAAGCACAGAAGGGAAAAGAGACAGTGAACTGCAGTTATTTGCAGTTGTTATAAACTGGTAGACATTTTGACAGTTTTCTGGGTGAGAGACATTCATCTCTTAGAAGCTTATTCCCGTTTTGCCGAAAGGGTATTTTTTACACCAGTTTTTCACTGATGTGTTAGAATAGATGTGATGGTAGCACTTCATGCACCTACATGAGACATACCCAGGCTTACTCAGATGCATTAGAACCAGCAGATTTCTCTTATATATTTGCAGACAGTAAGTTCAGAACAGTGTTTTCAGACACATTCAATTGTGTTTTCAGTGTTTTCAGACGCATTTCAACAGTGACTTCAGATGCATTCAATGAGTGCAGCCTAAGAGTTGTCTCTGATCTGTAATTTTTTTTCTTCCTGCCTTTTATGTAGAAACTTTTAATATCTGTATTTCATGTCACAGTGGGATTGATCATTTCTATATAGTTGTGATATGCCTTTGAAAATTAGACTACCAAAAATTTTTAGGTTAGCCAACTTACCCACTAAATCCCATTCTCCATTGGAGATGTAGTTGGAAGTATCAGCCTCAAGCATCTGCAGGTCGATCAACCAGCCACTGTGAGTCCAGGATCCAAACTTCAAATCACACTTCTGCACATCAAAAGGGAACCAGCGGACATCAATGTAACATGTGCTCTTCAAAATGCCTGTGGACAGAAATCAGTCAGAATCAGCAAGTGCAGGGTGCAGTTCTCCGTCTGATTGTGAGCACCTTTCTTCACCAAGAGAGGAAGATTCTGCTTCCTCTCTCTCTCACTGCATCCTTGAGGTAGGTTGCCCAGGACACTCTGGCTACCCAGGAGCAGCCCAGCCTTTCTCCTAGTGCTGGCTGGCCCTGGGCAACCACTGGCAGTGCTGCAGGACCTGACAGGAGCATAGAGTACCTAGATGTCCACACACTGGGGCTGGAAGTACTGTGACAACATCTTTGAAAGGAGTTCTTGTCAAGCTCTGCATCAGACCCACAGTCCCCTGAAAATACATTCTTATGTTAAACCTTACTCAGTCCTGTCCCATATCTTCTTCTATGTTAATCTGGGCATTGAATTTTACCCTGGATGTGTCTGGTCCACTATCATTTTATGTGGCATTTTAAGCAGTTTAGGACATTAATACTTGCATACTATTGCAAACTAATTATTTCTCTTTTTAAAATTATTTTTATTCCACTGATAGAAGAACAAAAAATACTAATTAATCTTCCAAACTTCCTTTCTGGCACCACAGCTATGGTTGTAGGACTTCCCCATCTATCTGGCAGCATTGAGGGCTTGGAGAATGGGGAAGATGATCCCCATTTAGTGAAGAACAGGCAGCTTCTGCTTCATTGAAAAATTCTCTCCAATGCTGCACTTATTCTCCCTGTTTGCAGTAATTTTTTCTGTGCACTCCCTAAAACATTAGCTGATGTGAATTCAAGCTCTGAGTCACCTAATTGAGCAGTGTCTGTTGTTTTGTGCTGAGCTCTCGAGCCATGCCTTTGGAAGACAAAATCCCCAAAATGGAGATGCTCAATTACTGTCTGCCTGCTGCTGCAAAAGCTAAGGATGCTGTGGCATAATTGTGACATTCTGTGAGGTCTTAATCCCACTATCATGGCATTTTTGGATGGGCTACAGGGAGGCTTTTCTCTCAGCTTCTCCTGAATCTTGGCTCTGCTCCGTTCTTTGCCCCCTTCTAGTCCTTTCTCCTCCTCCACCTATCTTTTTTCTCTTAATAGAGACCAGCAAAGAGTACAGCCTACTCTCAGAGTAATGAGAAAGAAAACTTTCATAAAGTTTTGGTAACACTGTCTTCTCCACTAATCCATGTTTTCCAGTGTCTTGATGAATCTAGCTGCTTCTGTGAGCCTTTGCTGACAGTCAGTAGGCTGATAATCAACTTTTTCCTTCTGCAATTTTGCAAAGTAGAGGGTCTCCTCAGAAGCCCTCTCTAGTTAAATCCCTGTAACAAATAATTTCCTGAGCTTTACACAACAGATTTCCATTATTACTTTTTCTGGTTTTGCACTTTCCTTGGGTTCTTAAGTAACCAGTTCTTCACCATGTAGTTCATAGCTCACCAGAGATAAGTAGGATACCTGGTCTGCCCATATAGACACCCTCTTCCTCACCTTCCTGTCTGAAGGGATAAGGAAGGCTCTGCTCTGGTACATGCCAATTTTATTCCTGCCTCATGTTGCTCCCTGAAGAGCAACCTTACTCATGGGTCTCAGTGTAACAACAAGACTAACTTAAGGAGTCTCAGTGGCAGGGATCAACAGAGGGTCAGCCATCAGGGAAGACTCTCTTGTTCCTTGGTGGGCCCTGTGGACATGCTTGAGGTCAGTGTGCCAGCAGCTGTTACACAAAGTTTGGGCATTTCTTATCCACTACAGTGAGTGACTGTGGGGGTAGCCTTGAACTTGCTGAAAGGTCCTGGCTGCTGGGTCCCACAGCCACTGAATCAACAATACAGATGGAAGGAGACTGACGTTTGTGTTTGGTTAGCTGAGATAAGTCTCTTTGTCTTTTTGCCTGGAGTTTTAGCCTCAGCCAGACACGGAGGACTTTACTGCAGAGAGAGTGTTGCTCCCAGGGTCTCCTGGGTCTCCCCACTGTCAAGAAGGAGCTGGTTGGATTGCATATGAAATGTCATGTGAGGGTGCACATCACCTTCTTCTAGATGATACATCAGTTGGGCCTCTGGATATTCTAAGCAAACTACTCAAGAGAGTGATTTATTGACTTGTGAAGTGGAAATACACTACTTACAATGGACATAAATTATTTCAGTGGGTCTGTCCCATAATTATACAGCAAAATTTCCACAGACTGCTTTTAAACACCTTGGTTTCATTCATTAAGAAAACTATTTGTACTTATTTGACTTAAAGTTAAAAAAAGGTGCTCTGTGCCCTACCTGGAGGAATATATTGGCAGGATCCAGAGTAATTCACCAGCACATTTGTGTGAAATGTCGCATCAAATCTTTCATCCGCACTATAACACAACATAAACATAACAAAAGAAAGCAAACAAAAAAGGAAGCTGATGACTGAGTTAAGATGTAGTAACTGTCAGCATAAATATACTCAGTTTGTTGAATTTAATGCACAGAATGTCTGAATAAAAGACCTATGCATAAGTGAAGGTTCCAGCCTTGATCTTGTACCTCAGTTTCTTATAGGCACTGTTGGCCTGCACCCAGGCATACAGGTTGCATGCTGCAGTGTCCTCAAAGAAGTGAGAGACAGAACTGTTGGATGTCTCAGAGCAAAGGCAGAAGCAAAAGGAACAGAAGTGTAGTGTATCCAAAGACCAATCAGGACAATGAGGCTTTTCTGGCGCTGCTGTCAGAGTCAAGCAGTTCACAATGTAAATTAAGTTATCTGTTACCCAGATACCTGTTGTAAGAGTAATGATGACCTGAAGCAACAATTCTGCAGTCTCTCAGGATTCAGAGGGACCAAGGATTTGCTTTAAGCTATGGAGGAAGGCACTGTGAAGAAGCTGTTTTAGATTTGGGGTTTGAAAGAGGGGATCCACTGGGACTTGTAGGAGGAGATTCACTGGGATTCTAAGAGCAGAAACGAGGTGAAAGGGACCAGGAAGAAATAATTTATTTAGGACTCCACAAAATCTGAGAAAAATAAGACAGCATAATGAACCAGGCAAGGACAAGAATATTCAAGGGAGCGGGCCTGGGGGCTTACTCCAGAGGTCTTTTGGGAAGACGTTGACTGCAGAGGGTTCCCCTGGCTAATGTTGTAGGTCTCCACTCTCAGGGCTATGTGCTGGTTTATTTAGCATGAGTACACTATCTTACACACCCTGTCTCACAAACAGATGTGGAATATTCAGGCTCTGCGTTCCTCATGTGACTGCTCTTTACTCATGTTTGAGCCCCCATCCCTCAATGTTGTCCCCAGGACAAAACAAAGGCGGTAAAATTGAAAAGGCTAAGTGCAGAATGAGTGGTAACTATCAAAAGACATAAAAGGCAGGGGAAAAAATGTTTTCATAAATTAAAGGAAACAAGGAAAAGACAAAGGATCAGATAGATCCATTACTTGCTGTAGAAAGAAAGGAAACAAGAGGGTGCAGAGAGCTGCAGTATCCTGCACCCTCTGCGCTTACAAGCTGTAGCTCACCATAATTAATTCTTGCACAGTGGCAGGAGTCCAGGTCAGAATAGGGGAGGAACAGGTTAAAGAAGTGTAGATAAGACAGATTCCAGTGGACAGGCCTGATGAAATTTACTCTTGAGAACTGAAGGCACTGGCCGAAATACTCTCTGAAGCATTAACAATTATCTGTGAGAGCTTGTGGAGAACAGGAAAAGGCTTGATGAATAAGGGAAGATCAAAGAGAATTCTGATTATTTTTTTAAAGGTGAAATTATAGACAGATCAGCCTAATTTCAGAGATAATGAGATGAAAACAACTGGCACAGATTTGTCAAGGGCCAGCTTCATCAAATCAATCTAAGTTTCTTACTGACTAACTAAGAAGAGACAGGTTATATATGTGAACTTCAAAAAGCCTTTGCTGCATCATATTCTTAGAAATAAGTTATGGTAATATGGACCAGGCTATATGCCTCCTTTTTAGAGACTGAAAAGGAATAAAGAGACTATGAGGAGTGTAGAAGAACACTTAAAAAATCCAGGTCACTCCAAGTATCCTTTGGCTGTCTATTAGGAAGAGCTTGGAGTGGAAAATGAATCTTGGTTATCTGAAGAAACCAACAGAATGAAATTCAGTCTAGACTATTAGAAAGTATTATCCCTAAAACTGTCAGAGAAAGCCAGATCAGTGACAATCTAGTAAGACAGCAAGGGTGAAGTACAACTTCAAAAAATAAGTTTGTTCAAAAAATAAGTTCAAACCTAAGATGTCAGAGCAAAACCAAAATCCCTTCCTCCAAGAAAGCATTAGGGAAACATCTGTCTAAGACCGTCCACTCCACTCAACACTGCAGAAGTGCTGGCTAGAGAGATGGATTTAACTCTGGAGGAGGAAAAAACAGAGTGTTCACAGAGAAGGAAGAATGATATAGAGTTCTATATAATATGAGTGATAAGGAAAGTGAGAAGAAAATCCATTTGGTTAATTCGGGCAGGAACACTATGGCAGAGACACAATAACAATTTTCCAGAAGAGCCATGGTAACTGCAAGGAGAATATAGACTGTTTTCCCTCTGCATTCACTGGGAAAAGGTAAGGAAGACTGGTGCAGAACAATAGCAAGGAAGTCTTACATTCGCTATTAGAAAAATCTATTAGCTGGCACTTGTTTACTTTTATTATTATTATTTCAAGAGTAAGAGCCAAATGCCCAGATGACAAAAAGCCCGGCGTATCAGCAAAGCATGGCTGATTTCCAGCATTCAGTGTTCTAGTTCTAGGCTCCCACCCACCATTGTTCATTGTGCTTACCTGTTATATAGAAGAATGTCTGGTACCCAAATCTGGTCGGCTGGAAATCGCAGGTTCTGCACCCCTGGGTATTCATACTGATCCCAAGACAAGTAAACATCAACCCAGTACTGTTGGCAAATACATACATCAGATTATATGAGCTGGTAAAAGTTTTCTAACTAACTTTCCTAATAGGGATCTTTGTGCCCTTCCCTTTCTGGGGCCACCCCTGGCTTCCCACTTTAGACAGAGGATGGGACTTCTCCACAATCTGTGAGTGCTTGCTGGGTCTGACTCCTTGACAAGAAGCCCCCCAGTCACTGACCATGGAGAGGACCTTTATCCCCTTGAAGAATCTCTCCTTCAGCTACAGTAGGACCCTGACTTTGGGCTTTTGTTACTAGACCCTTACATCCACTGGCCTAAAAATGCAGCTGGTTTCAAAAGTCAACAGGTCTGCCCAAAGCATCAATGTAGTCTCCTGTATTTCATTTCCAATGCTAAAAGGAGCACTAGAGAAATTTCACAGGACTAAAACTTCCTGCTTGTTTCACATTACAGACAAGTGAAAAGACAGTAATCTTGGTAAGAAATCAGATTCAGTAGGTTGGTTTCAGAAATTTGTTGTTGTTGACACAGGTTACTCACCATCTGCAGCCAAGCATTTGTGATCAACACTTGATTCTTCTCGTCCTTTGAATAAAAAGGGAAAGGAAGGGGGAGGGCAGGGGAGGGGAGGAGAGGAGAGGAGAGGAATAAGGAGAGGAATGAGGAGAGGAGAGGAGAGGAGAGGAGAGGAATGAGGAGAGAAGAGGGTACAGTTTGATTACAGGTGGAAAAGCTATTTCTTTTAGAAAAACCCATATTCTTGGGGTAAAGAAATATGAACTTCATGGACTAAGTTGTGAGTTCAGTGCAAAACCATTGGATTGCATTACATTGCACAGAAAATGATGGCTCTTATCTGTCTTAAAACTCCTGCATTATGATAACTGATTGACAAGAGAAGTGAAAATAATAGATAGTCGTTCTGATTTTTCTGGGGACAATCAGACTGCTTACCAAAAGCAGAAGCTTTTCCTTCTAGCTAGTTGGTCAAAACAAGACTACTTCCAGTACCACGCAGCATGCAGTAGTTGTTTTATACAGAGATGTTTTATGTTGTATTTGCTGCCACTGCAGAACAATGGTGAAATGGTCGTGTTTCACTGCTCCTTTGGAATAGTGGCGTTACATAGCTTAGCTCTGGCTCAAAGGGAAGGAAGGGCTGGCCTTGGCAAAAGCTGGCACATGGAATAAAAAGACATAAATGCTGCCTGAGAGGGAGCTCATGCAGTGCCTGCACAGAACAAGAATCTCTGAGTTCAGACACTTACCTGCACAAGCCATGGGGAAGCAGCTCTGACTCACAACAGAAAAAAAGAAGCCCTCACACAGCTGGTCTCTGAGTGCTTTGGGGAGACACAGGGTGCCCAGCTTTCTGCAGTTAGCTTGTAAGTGCAAGACCCTGCAGTGCTATTGCCACCATGGAGATGGAATAGCAAGTCTTATTACCTAAGGTACACTTTGCCTCCTTTATTTTTTTGTAGGGCTACTGTGCTCACCATGTTTGTCCTGCTTCTCAGATTAGTTTTGCAGTCAAAGGGAAGCTTGTCTATTAGAGATCTCATAGGTTTAACTACAGTGCAACCATGCCCTGTGTGTTCTTCCTAGTCTTGTCTTTTGATAACAGCAGTCAGCGAGAACACAGAGTCTAACCAGGGCTTTGGGCTGCTTACGTCTCTCTCAGCTTGGGGGAAAAGAAGTGTCACTTCTGTGATCTGTTTTCATGGACATTTTGAGTCTGTTCTCATCATTCCTTTCAGACTGATGGGCTTTCAAAGGGTGTTTGGTTTTAAAGACAGCAAAACAAAGAAAATGTATTCGGCACTTATCAACAGATGCAGCCTGATGGGTCCTTCTAACTACAGGATAATAGAATCATTTTAGAATCACAGAATTATTTGGGTCAGAAGGGACCTTAAGGATCATCTAGTTCCAACCCCCCTGCCATGGATGGGACATCTCCCACAGGGCAAAGTTGAGCAAGGTCCTATCCAACCTGGTCTTGAACACCTCCAGGGATGGAACATCCACACCTTCCCTGGGCAACCTATTCCAGTGTCTTGCCACTCTCACAGTGAAGAACTCCTTCCTTACAGCTAATCTAAATCTACCCTCTTCCAGTCTGAACCCATTACCCCTCATCCCATCACTACAAGCCCTCTCAAAAAGTGTCTCCCCAGCTTTCTTGTAGGCCATCTTCAGGCATTAGAATGCTGCAATTAGGTCTCTCTGGAGCCTTCTCTTCTCCAGGCTGAACAACTGCAGCCTGTCCTTGTGGGAGAGATGTTCCAGGCCTCTGATCATCTTTGTGGTCCTCCTCTTGGAGCAGTGCAGAATCCATGTCCTTTTGTGTTGAGTACTTCAGAGCTGGACACAGTACTTCAGGTGAGGTCCCACAAGACTCAAGTAGAGGAACCAAATCACCTCCTTCAGCTTGCTGGCGATGCTTCTTTTGATGCAGCCCAGGATACGGCTGGCTTTCTGGACTCCACTCGCACATTGTTGGCTCCTGTTGAGCTTTTCATCAACCAGCACCCCCAAATCTTTCTCCACAGGACCGCAACCACAAGTCTTTGAGTGTGATCATCCAGCCAATTCCTTACCCACCAAGTGGTCCATTCATCAAATCCTTGTCTCTCCAATTTAGAGAACAAGATGTTGTGCTGGACATTGTTGAACATTTTGCACAAGTCCAAGTAGATGATGTCAGTTGCTCTTTCCTTATCCACCAATGCTGTAACTCCATCAAGAAAGGGCACCAAATTTGTCAGGCTTGATTTGCCCTTGGTGAAGTCATGTTGGTTTCCAGTTACCAATCACCTTCTCATTTTCCACATGCTTTAGCAGAACATTAAGGAGGGGTCTACTCCTTGACCTTGCCAGGTACAGAGGTGAGACTGACTAGTCTGTAGTTGTCCAGGTCTTCTGTTTTACTGTTTTTGAAAATGGGGGTTATGTATCCCTTCTTCCAGTCAGTGGGAAGTTCATCAGACTCCCATGACCGTTCAAATAAGATGGAAAGTGGCTTAGCAGTTTCATCCACCAGTTCCCTCAGCACCCACAGAAGGTTTTTGTCGAGTCACATGGACTTGTACAACTTCATGTTATTTAGATGGTCTTGAACCTTGTCTTTACTTACAGTGGGAAGATTTTAATTCTCCTAGTCCCTGCTTTTGCCTTCTACAACCCGGTTTATGTGGCTAGAGCCCCTTCCAGTGAAGACGGAGGTAAAGAAGTCATTGACTACCAGAACTTTCTCCACCTTCTTCATGACCAGGTCTCCCATTACCTTCCAGAAAGGGCTCACATTTTCTCTAGCCTTCCTTTTATCACTGACATACCTGTAGACGTGTTTCTTGCTACCCTTAATGACAGATTTAATTTTCTCTGGGTGTTTGCTTTCCTAACTGCAACCCTGGCTGCTCAGACAACTTCTCTGTATTCCTCCCAGGATACCTGTCCTTGTTTCCACTCCCTGTAGACTCTCTTTTTGCGTCTAAGTGTGTCCAGGAGCTCCTTGTTTACCCAGGTGGGCCTCCTGGCATTCTTGCCCACCTTCCTCTTTGTTGGGACACACTGCTCCTGGGCTTGGAGAAGGTGGTTCTTGAATACTGGCTAGCTTTCTTGTGCCCTCCTTTCCTCCAGGGCTTTATCCTTTGGTACTCTACCAGGCAGATCCCTGAAAAGGTCAAAGTCTGCCCTCCTGCAGACCAGGGTAGTGAGCTTGCTGTGCCCCCTCCTCGTTGCCCTAAAGATCTTGAAATACACCATTTTGTAGTCATTGCAGCCAAGGCTGCCTTTGAGCTTCACATTAGCCACCAGCCCCTCCTTTTTGGTGAGAACAAGGTCCAGCATAGCAGCTTTTCTCATTGGTTCCTCTCCGACTTCTAGAAGGAAATTGTCAACAGTAACTTTCCAGAACCTCTTGGAGTGCTGATGCCCTGCTGCCCTGTTGTGGTGTCCTTCCAACATATACCAGGGTGGCTGAAATACCCCATGAGGACTGCAGCTTGTGAACATGAAGTCACTTCTATCTGTCTATAGAGGGTCTCATCTGCTTGGTTTTCCTGATCAGGTGGCCTGTAGCAGACCCCCACTATGCTGTCACCTTCCCCTGCTTTCCCTCAACCCTGATCCATAAGCTCTCAGTCAGCTCCTCTTCCATCTCCAGGACAAACTCCATGGACTCCAGCTGATCACTGATGTAGAGGGTGATACTCCCTTCCCTTCTCTCTTGCCTGTCCTTCCTAAAGAGCCTGTACCCATCTATTCCCACTCTTCTGTTGTAGGAGCCATCCCTTCAAGTCTCAGTGATGCCAATAACATCAAAGCCCTGTAGGTGTGCGTCCAGCTGTAACTCCTCTTGTTTGTTCCCCATGTCCCATGCTTTGCATAGAGGCATTTAAGTTGGTCCCCCATTGAAGCTAATTTCATGGCTGGAATGCTTCCTGGCTGGAATCCATTATCTTGCACTTCAGGAGCTCTCTTGCTGGCCTGTGATCCTTGTCTAGGCCCAGGATGGAATAGAAGTTTTCCAAACAAGGACCTAAGTTGGCCAGAAGTGCCTGGTTTGCAGGAGCAGCAAAGCTCACTTTAAAAAATAAACCAAAGCTCATTTGTCCAGGTGTAGTTCTCTGCTAAGACACTTCTAGAGAAGGACCCTGAGGAGCCTGGCCAGGGGAAGAATGCCTGCTGGGGCTGCCCAAGAGGCTGTGGGACTCTAGAATCTGAATCTATCCTCTGTTAGAATAATAGGCTTTTAAGTGCAGAGGTGTTTGTGGAGCTTTCCTTCTTTGCAGGTGTGGTGGTTTACTGAGCCATGCAGTTTTACATCATGTAAAGAAAAACGTCCGCCCTTTGGAGTGGGCTGGTCGCCTTGCCCCTCCAGAGCTGCAGAGGAATCACAGCTTCCGCTGTCTTCACCATAACCTGTGGACTGTGTGTGTCTCTGAGACACCTGGGCACAGGAGGAGCTGTATTTGTCTATTACAAAGGTACTTACAAATTACCATGGGGGTGTATGTGTGCCTTACTCTAGCCCAAGAGTTCGCTGGCTGGTACTGCTTTGCCTAAGTGAAAGCTAATTCTTGAGCCTGGGAAGTGCTACATTCAGTTCCCTCACTGTGTATCATACACTTCTGCAGAGCAATTTAAAGTTAGTTGTGAGGATGCCTTTCCTTCCAGGAGAAAACCTGAATAATCTGTCACAGTTTTTCCTGTGCAAGGTTTCTGTCTTCCTTGGCTCTGTCAGCCTTAGGGATGACCCTCCCTCCATATTTGGCATGCTCCCAGCTCTTGCTCCAGCAAAGCAAGCAAAGAAACCCTGCTAAGATCCCAGGTGAGGCTGGAGATGACTAGCCCCCAGAGACACTTTTCCAGCACTCCCCTGGCACTTCCCCATGGCTGCAAATGTTCAGCTCAGACAAATCAGTTTGCTTCTGGTATTAAAATGTTGAAAAAGCTAATGCTGTGGTCACTAGCTTGTGCAACAGTTGTCCTCTAAATCCTTCCTGACTTTATCTGGGTCACTTTCTCCCCTTTCTATCTCCAGCCTGACCCTAGTTAATCCTCGGTCGTGGATATCTGCT